CATAGGAAATGAGTATAGAAGTAGTTCTAAGGGTAGGCTTAATTGTTCCATTGTAATGCTAAAAGTATAAGCAATAAAACAGATTACTTTAGAGTGCTGGTAGGAATGGAGGATTTTGATATAATGGGAATAACTATAGAAAATTTTGATTATAGAATATTCTTTGAAATAGAGGGTTATATGTTATTTAATAGGGATAAAGTACTAAAGAGAGGGAGAGGAGTGGCTTTATACGTAAAATTTGAATTGCTTACTGTTGAACTTGAGAATATCAATAATAATAATAACAGCAACGAGATTGAATCCATTTCGATTTCTATTAGCTATATAAAAGGAAAAGGCTTTTAGTGGTGATTTGTTATAGACCACCAGATGATACTGCTGAAATTAATGAGAAATTGTACAGTGAGATTAAGATTTCAGCTGTTAATGAGGTCATAATTGTGGGTGATTTTAATTTCAGGCATATAAATTGAGAAATGTTAGAATCAAGAGGAAGAAAGGGTTTTGGAACTGTTCAAGGTGGTTTTCTTCACCAATTGGTCAAGGAACCTAATAGACAGAATGATATTTTAGATACATTGTTAACTTCTAATATAGAAATGTTTGACAAAGTGGAAATTAGGGAACATCTGGGTGCAAGCGATCATTGCTGCATATGGAAATCAGGAATAATGATATTTTGGTTACAAATTTCAAAAATATGAGACAAGAATTATCTGTTGTGAATTGGAAGCCGAGTTATTTGGTGAAACTAATAAAATGTGGAAAATTTTTAAATATTCAAGATAAGCATATTCCTTATAGAAAGAAAAGGGTGGCTGCAAATAAAAACCAGGTTGGCTCACAAAGTGTATAAAGGTTAAAATTATAGAAAAGTATCACAAATTTAAGAAATTTAAATTGATTGGTTTGATGTGAGATTTTTTAAGATTATGGAATATAAAGAAAGTTGGTCAACCAGGAAATTAGGACATCAAAAAGGAGGTATTACAAAAGGTTGGCTGAAAATGTCAGGATGGGGTAGGACCTTTGAGGGATGATAAAGGAAGGCTCTTGTCTGATAATTATGAGTTGGCTGGGTTATTAAGTTCTGCTTTTTTCTTCAGTTTTTTCTAATGAAAAGTTATGCAATGTTCCTCATTTTGAACAGTTGATAAATGGAAACAAGATCGAACAAGATAATCACTGTAATTCTGAGCTTGTTAAGAAATTATTGGGAAGTTTAAAGAACTATAAGGCTCCTTGGACAGAATATTTTCCAAAGGGTCTTGAAGGATTGGATATATAAGCCACTTTCTACTATTTTTTGTAATTCTTAAACATTGGGCATGTACCAGAGGATTGTAAATTGGCTATTGTTAGTTCTCTTTTCAAGGAAGGTGATAAAAATTGTCCCAGTAGTTATAGGCCTACTAGTCTTACATAAGTTGTGGAAAAAGTTTTGAAATGTCTAATAAAAGATGCTTTGCAAAGTCATTTAAATTAACAAAGTTTAGAATTTTATTGGATAGTTAACATGGTTTCAATAAGAGAAAATATTCCTAATTGGATAGAAGAGTAACTGAATGGAAGAAAGCAAAGGGTTGTTATAAATGGAGTTCAGTCAAATTGTATTAATGTCACAAGTCGGGTACCTCAGAGCTCAGTCTTAGGACCTTTGCTCTTTTTGATATACATCACTAAAATAGATGAAGGAATGGTAAATAAATTACATAAACTTGCTGATGATATTAAAGCCTTGGGTGTTGAAGAAGATACTGTTGCTTTACAAAAGGATTTAGATTATTTAGTGAGTTGAGTGAATAAATGGCAGATGGGTTTTAATTCTAATAAATGCAAGATAATGTTAATGAGTTATCGTAATTTGATTTTTATAAGTATATGTTGGATGGGAATAACAATGAGCTATCTATGCTTAGGTAAAGTGTTGTATCATGCTTAATGAAACACATTTTTAATACACAACTACTGAATATAAATACTTGAATCAAAATTACATTTTGTCTTTACCCTGTCAAAAAAAATAATCCATAATGTTCTTAAAACATTATATATCCATTAAATAAAATTACATATATGAATTTTTTAAAGTGTAGATTTAATGTCACTTTTCGATGTATTGGTATCACTTAACTGATATTACTCAATTGCTGAAGAAAGACGCTAACAAGGTTAATGTTAAAATTACATAAATATTTATTTTAATGATGAGGTTTTGATGAATATCAAGTCAAACATGTTTTCAAGAATCTAATCAAAACACAGTACAAAAATGTAATGCTTAAAACATGTTGCTGTTTAACAAGGATTGAATATCTGCTTTTAATATAAATTGTCTTTAAAACCAAAATATAATGTACAGCACTGACAATAAATTTACTAATCACAAATGTATACAGAAATATTTCTTAATGACATCACAAAACAATAAACTGTTACTGAAAGAATATTATTTGCTCACGGCATACAGTATTTTATGATTTATGTAATTTGTTGAAATTAGGCCTCATATAAAACTTTTAAAAAGGTATAATGCTACACTTCTAGGTTACTTTTCTGGAATATGATTGTATTTTAGTCCTATTACCTCTGTGAACACATAGATAATTTTTATAAATTAGGTAATTCTTTGTTGGTACCATTATCATTACTTCTCATTTTTACCTTAACACTTCAGCTCATTAATCTTACTCTAAAAATATTAGCCTCTTTGTTTTATCAATATTTTTGTTATTATTAACCATATCCTTTTATTCTGACTTGAAAACAATTAAGTAGGCTAATTACAAGGTTGGTTCACAAACATTTATTGGTTCTCTTTTAGCTACTTAAACAAATATACCCTTAATCCCTTTTGCTGGACTTTGCAAAATAGTTAACATACAATTTGTTTAACTAAAGATAAATATTTGGCAAGAAAAAGGTTACATCCTAATTTAGTATTTTATTACAAACCGAGTTTTTAGAATATTTTACTTTCATGTCTAAATATCCAACAACTGTGATCTATGATAATATATTATTTTGTAACATTATTCAGGTTTCTCTCCAAAAAACAAAATGCAATACAAGTTAAATGACATGATGTTGATGTGATTACCATATGGAAAACACAGTAACCAGAAGTACATGGTTCAACTCTGTTTACACTGCAACTCACAATTTACACAAGGAAGAAAGTAACGTGATAAATATTGCAACTGAAAATTTCCGAGTTAAATACCAAATGTTTTTCATAAGTTTTGATTTGCTGTTGATGTACAGCATGTGAATAATACTTGCGTGATGCAAGTGAACTAGAAGCTGCTTGTTTGGTTCTAGAGTTGAGGATAGATCTAGACCTTGACAATCTTTGCCTGGATATATCATCTACACACTAGATCAACCTCATAAGTGTGCACTCATCGCTATATAATATCTTACTACTATTCTTAATCTATAAGAAAAAACATCAGTTCACGTCTATGCTTTTGTTCATTCCATGAGATACAAATGTAGTATTTTTTATCATGTATTTGCTAATACGTAAAACAAGAAATTTACTGACATGTATTGTAAAATATGTTGTTTTTTATACTTTTCTGCTAAACAGTACATAGGAGACAGATCATTCTAGTATTTACAACAACTGTAAATAGCTGCTATGTTGAGAAACTAGATGATAACATGTATGCACTGTAAGTCTCTTACTTTATTCTTCCAAGTATAAAACACCTCTTTAATGATATGAGAAGAGTTAGTTATTTCTTGTCTATCTTATAAAGCACTTACTCACTCCACTAATTTTCAAATTACATACACTTTGAATGCACTCCTAATTTTTCCTTTAACTACCAATTTATAATTTAATACAATTATTATTTTGAAATAAATATACCAATTAGTAATTTTTACATGTAAATTACCATTAACAATAAGTCCAATGCATTAAGTGGTCTCACTGTAAAACTTTTGTATACCAAAAATAAAAGCTTTTACAAACTAATGTATATGACATTGATAATATTAACTGGATTTTTAAAAAATAACAATGAATATTTTGCCATTAATGTATTCACAAGGTCATGAATGTATAAAAAATACAAATTTAACCAATTCTATCTCACAATGGTAATCTTTAAAAACATACAAAATGCCAAATTATTAAAAATCAGTCATGTTACATTAAAGACAGTAGTTGGCAAAACAATAAAAATTAAATGCATTGAATTTGACAATATATGTGTCTAAAGGCAAATCTGTGAGCCAGAATAATTAAAAAAAAAATTCCAAATGGAAAAAAATCTGCAAGTCAACTTATGTTATTTTACTCTGACTGCTTTAAACTTGTCCGGAATTTTTGCGAGACATACACTGTGTACAGCACACTCGCATTCAACTGTCAGAGGAGGACCATACCTGATATGGCAAATCAGTAGTCAATGGATTAAAGATGTTAGGAAAGAAAGACAAAGAAAAGTAATTAAAATTTTAATGTGTACTATTTATTCTTAATAAAAAACAACAATAAAATGATGGAACTATGTCTCACTTCAATTCATACAATGAAACACTATATTGTTACCTTTGTAAAAGTTAAAATAATTTGAACATCTCGATTACTAGTTTTATGATACTACTTAAAAACTAGTCTTTACAACAGTGAGCAAATGATCTGTCAAAATATATCTTATGTAGGGATAGCACACATTAGTAGTTTTGTTTTTACTTCCAATAAAATCAAGTCAGCGCTTCTCTAGCACATGCTTTACTATCAGTTTTAACATATTTACAATTCTTTATATTACTTCTTTCCTTTTTTTTTCAAGAGTCATAATCATCTTCTTCTGTGCTTGTATTAGTGTTATACGTAGGTTCTATAACAGGAATGGTTGGTGGTGGGGGAGCAACAGCTGGATGTCTGATGGAAAGATGAAACCATAAGTTACATGTTTGGCAAAAAATATGATTCATTTTATTCTATAGTAAGATCTCAAGAGAGACCTTTATCATCAGGAATTCTGTATCATTTCCAAGTAGAATTATCTTAGATTTTTTTTTTATAATACTTCTTTAAATGAGAGAAACAACAAAAACATTTTCCCTTTCAGCCTTAAAGTTCCTCAAAAGTTATATTCAACAAATACTTATATTATGATAGTCAATCTGTCAACAAATACACACTAACAAGATATCTTATAATACTACAACTACAGAAATTATCAAGGTACTCTTAATTTTTTTTTTAAATGTCATATCTAGACTGTGGACAATGATTACCTCAGGTATTTATTATACAACTGAAGCTGTAAAGAAAAAATAATGCCTAACAATACTTTACAGATTTTTATAAATGTGTATATGATGTTTCTAAAGGAAGTTTTTCATGTTTACAAATGTTTGCTTTTTGATTGTGACAGAAAAAAAAAGCACCAGATACATTAGAATTATATGTTTTGAGTGTTTTTGTACCTTTAATTTTACCTGAACTATCTAAGCCAGAGGCTCCCAAAATTTCTTGGCTCAATCCCCCCATGAAATTAGATTTTTCAGATGTGAGGGTCACTTGAAATGGAATATTTTTTATGTGCTGGCTGCCCTGAAACCATATTTCAGCCCCAGATTCAGAACCTTTGATTTTAAACAGTCTAGTATCTGTAAGTATAATTTTTCACCAGTTGCAACCTAATATCTGCAATCCACTCAAACGATGCCACCTAATGAAAAGTCTTATCATCAAAATAATTTTGAACCATTTCTTCTTTTGGATAGATGTTAAGGCTTAATTTGTCATAAAACACAAGTTTTTAATTTTAAAAAAAATGATTTATAATCTATCTTTTGGTGATAACAGAAACAAGATATTACAAAGGTACTACTACATAATTAGTTATATACCAATACTTAAAGCCTAAAAATTAATAGTATATAATATTTCACTCAGAATTGTACATATTCTCACATGTTAACTTTTGTATTACTAGAAAGTAGTTTTTTTGTTTCCAAAGTTTCTAATTTGTAAATTCCTATACTGTGTGGTGCTTAGCAAAATTTTTAAGTAGTATACATATGCAACATATCACACATTATACAATAATGTGAAAAAACTGTCCTAGAAAGCAGGTTTAAGTTAATATAGCTGTTTCTGAAATGTGAAAAACTGGATATATTTACCATAATTAAGAAACATCACTTTAATAAGAAAAAAACAACTTAATTTTGTACAAATTTTTTGTAATAAGCTGATGAAGACAAGTAATAACTTACAAATTATTAACCATGTAATATTCTGGTGGATTACTTGTAAGTTTCCAATGATGAGGCATCATCCTCTGGTTATTAAAAGTATTTTCATCACTTGCTTCCTCAGAATCCTTAGAAAAGAGAATAAATCAACAAGCTGTAATTTTCTTTAGAATTTTAAAATGTACATGGATACCCATACCTTTTACAACTAAAAGCGGTTTTCTACAAATTACACAAATGGATCTAGGTCACATTTCTATTTCAATAAAAAAATATTACATATATGCTCCATATGTTTAACATGTTAAACAAATTTTTGTATACTTAAATAAAAATCCCCAAAACATAAAATACTTTGATAGAAGGTTCTTTACAGTGAAAACTAACAAAGTAAATGTGTATCTATACATGTTAAAAGTTGAAACAGCTGAAATGAAAAAAACAACTAACAGTTCTTTTGTCAGAATTAGTAACATATTTAAGTAAGATGGATAAAGACTTTATTACCCTGTTCCTTATATTTCATTTACACCCCTTATCAGTTTCAAGAGCCTAAATTTCATTAGATGAATAATGAGCCAATTTTTCATTCTGTTTTTTGATCAAATGTAAGTTGCTCACAACTTTCCAACCAAAGACATCTTCAGTTGCTTTTTTTTTTTGGTTTATAAAGAATGTTTCTCCAAACTAACTAGTTTCCCTGAAAACATGTTGGGGTAAAGAAAGACAAAGATGTTGTGAGAACCAAATATAGAAAGGGTACATGCCTCTCCACTACACTGAAGGAAAAAGATCCTTAGATTCTACAGGAAGGATGAAATCCTACATATTTTTGCAGTCAAAGGGACAGCTTCTTGCTATAAAGTTATTCAACTATATATAGAAATGATCTATAGATCATTATGAATTTTAAAACTGGCCACAGCCAAAATGAAGTCAAAAGCTGAATCAAATTCATCATTATTCAGATCTTTCTCAATGTAATGCAAATCAACTAAGTATGCTGTATTGTGCATTGGATGAAAACTTGTTTGTATCATTCATAATGTTGTTCTAGTTGATCATTTGTGTTGTTGTTGCATGGTGAGAAATGTTTACTTGATATCAGGTAGTGTATTTTTATCCTTTTCCATCCTTTTAACTGATAGTACCACAAGCTGAAGTAGCCAAATCAATTTTGAGTTTTGCACCCAGATCACATCCTTGTCAATAATATCTCAATATGAATCTCCATAAAACAGCAGAGCCTCTTTGCAGGTTTGAAGTCTTTGAGACACTTGCTGGACATAACCCATACAGTTGAGCAAGAATAGTTTTAGAGTAATTGGCACTTCAAATTAAACAATTTGACAATTTATATGTCTTTGGAAAACTGTATTAAGTATGTTTTCAAATTCTCTACACTATCTATGAACATCTGCATTATATGTGCAAACATAGCACTCAAGGTGTGGATACTTGTTAATAAGCACTTTTTATGTGGTCTTTATAATGCTCGCATTATCTGTCAAAAGAGAAAATACTTCTAACTGTGCCAGTTCAGTGATAACGTTTCAAACTAATCTGTAATGTAATATGCAGTATGTCAAGTTTCACAGTCATGAGAAATGAATAAAAGACAATAATATTACAAATATTACTCCAGCCG